CACCATGCTCAGCCAGATAGTAAATATATTAGTCTTTGCAGTCTATTTAGCTTCTATGGCAACTATTCAATGCTGCCATTATGGAGTAAAAGCATCCATAGACAATACATAAACAGGGGTGGCTGTGTTCCAATAAAACTTTAGCAATAAAAATAGGCAGTGGGTCAGATTTGGTCCAAGGGGCAAAGTTTGCAAACCCTTGATTTAAAGTAACCACTAGGAAAATGCTACAAAGAGTTGTTCCTAATAGGCTAACAAAGGAGATAAAATTGAACGAAAAATACTCAATACAAGAGACAGAAAAAAGGTAAATAACAGATGGGACAAATAGAAAGCAAGTCGAAAGATGATAGACTTAAACTTATACACCCATAATCACACTAAATGTAAATAGTCTAAATATCCCAATTAAAAAACAGAGATTATCAGATTGGCTGAGAAAGAAAGACCAAACCATAAGCTACCTACAAGAAACATACTTTAAATATAAACCCAGAAATAAGTTAAAAGTAAAAGAATGGAAAAAGATTTACTATGCTAACACTAATCAAAAGAAAGTTACATATTATCAGATAAAATAGATTTCAGAGCAAAAAATATAACCTGCAATAAAGAGGATCATTTCAGAATGGGTCATTATGAGGAGTCAGCTCCTCAAGAGAACGTAACATGCTGATGTACTCAGTAAGAAGAGATCTGAAATATAAGAAGCAGAAACTGGTAAGACTGCAATAGAAAACAGAAAATTTCACAATTATAGTCAGAGATTTCAAAACATCTCCCTCAATAATTTAAGTAGATAAATAAGTAAAGACATATGAAACTTGAACAAAACTATTACCTAACCTGACCTAACTGGCATTTATAGAACGCCCCACCTATCAGTTCCATACAAGCTGTTGCAGAAAACTGAAGAGGGAAAGACCTTTCCAAACTCATTCTATAAGGTAAGTACTACCTGATACCAAAATTATACGGCATCACTACAAGAGGGAAAGAGATCACTACAGATCAACAGCCCTCATAAACAGAAATACACAAATTCTTAAAATCATTGTAGCAAATCAAATCAGATAATATATAAAAAGATAATACATCATGACCAATCCCAGTAATGCAAAGATAGTTTAACATTTGAAAATCAATATGATTCATCATATTAAAAAACTAAAGAAGGAAAACCATATAAATATCTTAATAGATTAAAAAAATCATCTACCTGTAACATGTACTCTTTTTGCCTGGCTTCTTTCACTCAGCATAATTACTATGAGATTCATCTCTGTTGCTGATGTATGAATACTCCATTGCATTTTATTGCTGAGTAGTATTCCATTGTATAAAAACACGGTGTTTATTCGTTGGTGATGTAAATTTGAGGTGTTGCCAGTTTGGGGGCATTACAAATAAAACTGCCATGAGCATTTTAACTACAAGTCTTTAAATGGATATAAGTTTTCATTTTGCGGGGGTAAATGCCTAGGAGTGGAATGACTAGATCACATGTTTAACTTTTGAAAAAACTGCCAAACTATTTTTCATAGTCATACTTTTGTACATCCCCACCATTAGTACATGAAAGTTTCTATTACTTCACATTCTCATCAACAATGGGAAGTCTTTCTAATCTCAGGCATCCCATTAGGTATGTAATAGTATCTCATTGTGGTTTTAATTTGCATTTCCCTAATGATTAATGATGCTGAGCATTCCTTCATATGCTGTTTTCCCTCTGTATATCTTTTTTTTTTTTTTTTTGGTGAAGTATCTGTTTAGTAGAAACAGAAAAAGCTTTTCATAAAATCTAATATCTTTTAATGATTAAAAGAAAAACCCTAGCGAACTAGAAATAGGAGCAAACGTTGTTAGTCTGATAAAAGGTGTCTATAACAAAAGCCTATAGCAAACATGATACTGAATAATGAAATATTAAAAGCTTCAACACTATTCAACACTGTACTGAAGGTCTCTAGCCAGTACAAATGCCTCCATGAAATATATTAAAAATACATAAAATATGTGGATGAGAAAGGAAGAAATAAAGTTGTCATTTTCACAGACAAGAAGAGTGTACATGAAGAAATTACAAAAGAATCTATGGATACCCTATAAGAGGTAATAGCTGAATTTTGTGAGTTCACCAGAATTAAGGTCAATATACAAAAATCAATCAATTTTTTTGTATACCAGCAACAAACAATTTAAAATGAAATTTAAAATTACTATTTATAACATCATAAAAATCAGATGCCTAGGATAGATATAACGAAGACATGCAAGACTTCTACATAGAAAACTGCAAAACATTGAGAACAATTTAAGATAAATAAAGGAAGGCACCTATACATGGATTAGAGAAGTTAATATCTATTGTAAGGATGTAAATTATCTTTAAATTGATTTCTAGAATCAATACAATCCAAGTTAAAATAAGAGTAGAGTTTTTTTAAGATATTAATAAGCAGGCTGGGTGTGGTGGCTCAGGCTTGTAATCCTAGCACTTTGGGAGGCCAAGGCAGGTGGATCATGAGGTCAGGAGTTCAAGACCAGCCTGGCCAACACAGTGAAACCCCATCTCTATTAAAAAAAAAAAAATTGTTATATTTTTATAGCTACCCAGATTTGATCATTACACATTGTATGCTTGTATCAAAATACCACATGTGCCCCATAAATAATGTACTACTATTATGCATCCATAAAAATTAAAAATAAAAAAATAAAGTAAAATAAATTTATATGGAAATGCACTAGGGTCAAGAATAGCCAGCATAAACAAAGAAGTACAAAATTGAAGGGTTTATGCTACTAAAGAGTTGTTATAAAGTTACATAATTAGGACAGCATGATATTTGAACAGGATAAATAATCCTGAAGCAGAGCTGCGTATGATTGGACACTTGATTTATGACAAAGATAGCAACAGCAATACAATGTAGTAGAGAATGAGTGGCCTTTCGATAAATTGTGCTGGGTCAACATGGAAAACAACACACTTGGGCATCTTCCTTACACAAAAACAATTTCAAGTGAATTGTAGATCTAGATGTAAAAGGTAAAATAATAGAGGCTCTAGAAGAAACTATCTTGTGATGGGCAAAGATTTCTTAAGTATGAATAGAACAGACATATACACTAAACATAAAGAGATTGATAAATTGGGCTACATTAAAATTAAGAGTTCCCATTTCTGGGCACATTGTTAAGAGAGTGGAAAGGAATGTCCCCGGCTAGGGGAAGACATTTACCTATAAGGAGCAAATGACTTGTTTCTAGAATGGTTAAAGAATTCTTATAAATAAGAATAGGACAGAATGGTTTAAATAACTCCTGGATGGAAGGAAGAAAGAAACGAAGGAAGGCAGGCAGGCAGGCAGGCAGGCAGGCAGGCAGGAAGGCAGGTAGAGCCCAGCAGAAAAAAATGGGCAAAAATGTTGAACAGTCACTTCTCCAAAGAGAATATCCAAAAGGCCAGTTGACATGAGAGTGTTCAATCTCATTAATCTAAGGGCAATGCAAATTAAAACTATTATAAGCTAAAAATGGTGAGGATTTGGAGCAGCTGGAATTCACATACATTGCTTGTAAGGCGGTAAAATGGGCACAACTACTTTGGAAAACTGGCAGTATCAACTAAGCTTACCCTAAACATACCCTATGACTCAGCAGTTCCACTCCTCAGGTATAGACCCAAGAAACAACATGAATATGTGTCCCACAAGACAGGTACAAGAATAGTTACAGAAGTTTGTATTCATAATAGCCCCAAACTGGAAACAACCTAAATGTCCTTCAATAGGAGAATAGATAAACGAATTACTGGTATATTCAAACAAGAGCAATAAAATGAAGAAATTACTGATACATGAAACAACATGAAGTTAAATCTCTGAAATATAAGTGAACAAAAAGCCTGAGAGGAAAAGTTCATATTGCATGATTCACATTTACATAATGTTCAAAAACAAACTAAAGTTACTAATGATATGAGAAGTCAGGATAACTGTAGTGTTTACTTTTGCAGAGAAGGGAAATAATATCTGAGAAGGAACAAGGGCTTTTGAGATGCTGCTGACATTCTATGTCTCGGTCTGAGAAGCTATTCCATAGGTGGTGTTTTCTTTGTGAATATTCATTAAGCTATACAATTATGATTTGTGCAATTTTCCTGAATATATAGTTATGCTTCAATTTAAAGAAATGTTCAGAAGAGAGTGCAAAATCAGAGGACGGGAGGAAGAGAGATCTCTCTGGATTTGAGAGCAGCAGTGACTGGAAGCCCACCAGGGAGGCGGTAACAGCCTCAAAAGAAAAATCGCTGGAGCCTAGGAGGATCTCAATATGAGGTTTCCAGTCTCAGCAAGTAATTCCTCAATCACAGGTATGGCCCAGAATGCACCAACAAACCAGAACACTAGTTTGCCAGAACACTAGCAAAACCAAAGGAAGCACATGAGCTGGGACACTGGACATCTCGTCAATGTGGACAGTTCATCAATGACCTGAGTATTCCTCCCCTCCCAACCCAGCCTCCCAGGATCATACTAACTATCAGGCAAGTTCCAACCCTGAAACAACCGTGAGGGAGATAGGATGTATGCTGATAATGGCTGGAGTTATCCTTTCAACCCAGCAGAATGGGGGCATGCAGTCATAACTCAAGTTGAGTTTTAGGAAACAAAAAAACGATCTCTTACATATCTAAATTTGAGGACAGAGATTCTTATGAGATACATGGAAATAACAAGTCTGGGTTTTGTTAGTTTGTTTTAAAGAGACTTCCTCCTTCTTCCCTCATCCTTTCTTCTCACAGTTTCTTCCCAGTCATCACACTTGACACAGTAGGGCCTAAAGCCATCTATCTGGTATGCCTTTAAGGATGTGAATATAACCCGGGATTTACTATTCCCCCCAAATTTGCTCTGATGTACTAAAATGAACATATATCAGGAGCTATCTCCTCCCTGCATAGACACATGTTACTTAAGAGTACACCAGACCTTTCTGTACTTTACTGGCACGTCTGGGATGTTTGCCAGCCTGTTCATTTTTCTGTGCGGAGTTGTCCACGTTAGCGAAATTCTGTGATTCTGTGACATGTTCCATTTGTTTGATGAAAACCTCTACTGCATGTTCTCCTAAGCACCTGAAACAGCAAAATACAGCATTTGTAAAGATCATTTCACATTGGTTAGTTAATTATTGTGAATGGGTTCGGTTCTATCTAGAGGGTAGACAGAAATGGTATGGGTGCTGGCTGAGATCCACCAGGTCCAGTGACCCAAAGTCCCCAGCACACTGTGCTGCCTACAATAGGAACACCGGGAGAAGTTGTTGATGTTGCTTACGGAACTACTGAAGCCTTGGATTTTATTTTTATTTTTTTATTGTTTGAGATGGAGTTTCACTTGTCACCCAGGCTGGAGTGCAACGGCATGATCTCGGCTCACTGCAACCTCCGCCTCCCTGGTTCAAGTGATTCTCCTGCCTCAACCTCCTGAGTAGCTGGGATTACAAGTGCCCGCCACCACACCCAGCTAATGTTTGTATTTTTAGTAGAGACGGGGTTTCACCATGTTGGCCAGGCTAGTCTCGATCTCCTGACCTGAGGTGATCTGCCTGCCTCAGCCTCCCAAAGTGCTGGGATTACAGGTGTGAGCCACCATGCCCAGCCTATTTTTATTTTGTAAGGTTAGCTTTACTGAGATATAATTTATATACAAATAAAAGTCATCAGTGTTAGTTGTACAGTTCCAAGTTTTAGCAAATGTTTACAGTCGAGTTAAATACCACCACAATTAAGATATTAATTGATCTATCATGCTGAGAAACTCCCTGTGTCCCTTTGCAGTCAGTACCCTCAACCACTGCTCTGCTGTCACAACTGGGGTCTTTCTAGAATGTCACGTAAGTGCGATCATACAGTAACACTCCTTTGTGTCTTTTTTTCACTTTGTGTAATGCTTTTGAAATTTCTTCCCTATTGTTGCATATAATCAGTATTTTGTTCCGATTGTTCCACATCCTCACCAACATGTGTTTGCTCAATCTTGTTAATTTTAGGCATTCTAGTGATTTTATAATGGCATCTCGTTGTCATTTTAATTTGGATATTTTCATGTGCTTATGTATCCTCTTTAGTGAAGTGTGTTTGGATGTTCTGCCTTAAAAAAAAAATTGGGGCCAGGCATGGCGATTCATACCTGTAATCCCAACATTTTGGGAGGCTGAAGCAGGAGGATTGCTTGAAGCCAGGAGTTCAAGACTAGCCTAAGCAGCATAGAGAGCCCCTCCATCTCTACAAAAAATAAAAAATTAGCCAGCCGTGGTGGTGCATACCTGTAGTCCCAGCTACTCCAGAGGCTGAGATGGGAGAATTGATTAAGCTCAGGAGATCAAAGCTGCAGTGAGCTATGATAGCACCACTGCACTCCAGCCTGGGCAACAGAGCAAGGTCCTGTCTCAAAAAAAAACAAAACCAAAAATAGTTGGTTTAACCGGGTTATTACTGAGTTGTAAAAGTTAATACATTCTGGATACAAGCCTTTTATAATATATTTTTTGAAAATATTTGCTCCCAGGCTGAGGTTTGCCTTTTTATTTTCTTAACATTATCTTTTGAAAGCAAAATTGCAAATTTTGATCAAATTTGTCAAATATTTTAAGGTTTTAAGATTTCTTTTTTCAGATTTAAGTGATTTTTGCCTAACTTAAGGCCACAAATGTTTTCTCCTACATTTTCTTTTAGAAGTTTTATAGTTTTAGCTCTTACATTTAGGCCTAGGATCCATTCTGAATTAAATTTTGTATATGGTATTACTGTAAGGGTCAGGTTCATTTTATTGCATTTGGAGATTCAATTAATCCAGCACCATCTGCTGAAAAGAATATCCTTTTTTCATTTAATTATCTTGGCACACCCATCACAAATCTACTCTGTGTGTGTGTTTATTTACATACATATACTGCTATTTCTAGATTCTCTATTCTGTTCGAGTTCTATGTATATCCTTATACCAACAGCACACTATTTTGCTTTAGAATAAGTTTTAAAATAAGGTAGTTCCAACTCTGTCTTATTTTGCAAATTATTTTGACTATATTAGCTCTTATATTAGCCCTTTTGAATTACCATATAACTTATAGGTCAATTGCTACTAAAACAAAAACTCCCTGGATTTTGATTGAGATTACACTGGATCTATAGAACAATTTAGGGAGAATTTACATCTGAACTTTGTTGAGTATTATGATCCATTAATATGGTATACTCTCCATTTATTTAGATACTCTTTAATTTCTCAGCAACATTTTACAGTCATCAGTGTACAAATATTGCACATATTTTCTTAAACTGATTCCTATGTAATTCATATTTTATGTCATTAAAATGGTCTTAAATTTTTTTAAAATTTCTAATTGTTTATTGTTGATATACAGAAATACAAGTAATTTGTATATATTGATGTTGCATCTGGCAACTTTGCTGGACTTTTTTTTAGTTCAAGTAGCTTTTTTGTTGATTAGAAATTTCCATATATATAATCATGTCATATATAAATAAAAAAAAGTTTTATTTCTTCCTTTGCAATTTGTATGCCTGTTATTTCTTTTTATCGTAATATTGCAAAAACTAGGGCGTCCAGTACAATGTTGAATAGAAGTGACAATAGTGGACATCTTTGTCTTGTTTCTGGCTTGAGTGGGAAGGCATTCAGTCTTTCAACATTAAGTACAATGTTAGTTGTAGGTTTTTTTTTTATAAAAGTTTGTTATCACTTCAAATCTTAGTTTCCTAAGAGTTTTTAACAGGAATAAGTGATCAATTTTATCAAATACTTTTTCTGCATCTGTGGAGATGATCATATAATTGTTCTCTGTGAATATATTAAGTAAATTGCATTGATTGCTTTTCAAATGTTAAAACAACCTAGTGTTCCTGGAATAAATGCTGCTTGGTCATAGGATAGTATCACTTTTATATATTGAAGGATTCAATTTGCTAAAATTCTGTTAAGGATTTTTGAATTTGTGTTCATGAGGGCTACTAATCTGTGGCTTTCCTTTTCTTTCTAAAAATGTCTTTGATTTGGACATCAGGGTAATGCTTCATGAATTGAGTTGGAAGGCGTTTTTTTTTTTGTTTGTTTGTTTTTTTACCTTTAATTGCTGGCACAGTTTGTGTAAAATTGGTATTAGTTCTTCCTTAAATTTATCAGTAAAGCTGTCTGGGCCTAGAGTTTTCTTTGTGGGAAGATTTTTAATGACAAAGTCCATTAACTTAATAGATACAGGGCTCTTCAGGTTATCTATTTCTTCTTAACTGAGCTTCGGTAATTTCAAAATTTGGTAATATTTTGTAATGATAAAGGGTCACTATAAACTGTCCCTGTATCATTATAAAATTATAAAATGATAAAGGGACATTTTATAAATGTCGATTAGGGTCAACCTAATCGACATTTATAAAAAAAACTCTATTCGACAACAAAAAAAGGGTTTCATTTGTTCTTCCCTTTCTAGCTTTTTAGGTGGAAGCTTCAATAATTGAATTTAGAACCTTCTTCTTTTTTTTTTTGAGACGGAGTTTTGCTCTGGTTGCCCAGGCTGGAGTGCAATGGCACAATCTGGGCTCACTGCAACCTCCAACTCCCAGGTTCAAGGGATTCTCCTGCCTCAATGTCTCAAGTAGCTGGGATTACAGGCACCCAACACTATGTCTGGCTAATTTTTTTGTATTTTTAGTTGAGATGGGGTTTCACCACGTTGGTCAGGCTGGTCTCAAACTCCTGACCTCAAGTGATACACCTGCCTTGGCCTCCCAAAGTGCTGGGATTACAGGCCTAAGCCACCTTACCCGGTCCCTTCTTCTTTCTTAATACGAATATTTAATATCGTAAATGTTCCCGTAAGCACCATTTTAGTGGCATCTCATATACTTTAACATGCTGTGTTTTCATTTTTCTTTCAGTTTAAAATATCTTTTATTTTTCATTGTAATTTCCTTTTTACACATGGTTTATTTGGAAGTCTGATGTTTAATTTCCAAGTAGTCAGGGGAATTTTCTAGTTATCTTTTTGTTGTTGATTTGAATTTTTCCTTTTGTTGTTGAATAGGGTTTTTAAATAAATGTCAGTTAGGTAAAATTGGTTGATAATTTGCTCAAGTCTTTTACATCCTTACTGATTTACAGTTTATGCATTCTATCAATAATCAGAGAGAAGTGCTGAAATTCTCATACTATATTATTGTGAATTTGTTTATTTCTCTTTTAAGCTTTGTCAGTTTTTATTGTGTATTTTGAAGCACTATTATTAGGCACATGCACATTTATAATTTTTGTCTTTTTGGTAAATTGACCCCTTTGTCATTATAAAATGTCCCAATTTGTCCCTGGTAATATTCCTTGTTATAAAACATATTTTTTTCTCATATTAAGACAGCCATTCCAGCTTTCTTTTGATTATTATTCACACACTGTATTTTTTCTATCCTTTTACTTTTAAGCTATTTGTATCTTTATATTTAATTATTGAGTTTTCTTCACACTTCAGCTGGCAGGAACATATATATACTTTTCCCCCCCATGGGCCACCAAGTTAGAATGTATCGTTATATTTAAACATGGTTTGTTAAGGACAACATATATTAGGTTTTGGTTCTTTTGTCTAATTAAACTCTGCCTTTTGATTGGAATGTTTAGAACTTTTACATTTAATGTAGCACTAGATATGGTTGGGCTTAAATCAATTTCCTACAACATTGGCCCTTGTTTCTTTTTTCTTGGATCCTTTGAGATTAAACACTTATTTCTTATGGTTCCATTTTATCTTCATTTCTGACTTATTAGCTATACTTATGTATAGTGATTGATTTACAGTTTACAGTATACGTCTTTACACAGTCAAATAAGATTATGCTGCTTCATATATAATTTAAGAAATTTACCATACACTTCCCTTTACCACCTTCCATCATTTTTGTTACTTTTGTATACATTTTACTTTGAATCTCATATTGTTATTTTTAAACACTCAACTTTTAAAGAGATTAAAATAAGAAAAATGTATTTTATATTTATCATTTTCAGTGCTTTTCAATTCTTTGTGTAAATTCAAGATTCTGTCTAGTGTCATAGTCCTATC